GTTCAGGGTGTTTTTTTTAATGAATGAGTGTATTTATTGTTTAATACCATCAAATTTCTTTGGAGTTGTCAAGAGCCCTATGGAATTGGTATGCGAGTTTCTTTTTATTATTTCTCTAAATTTATGTACTATAGCACATCGGATATATAAGAGAAATGATCCTTGTAAATGAGCGTATGCTTATATATATCCCACTAGTACGAAGTTGTTTGTGATTCAAGAGCAAATCTGTGCTGATTTGACTCAAAGCGAACAATATCATACTAACGGGGACTGTCCGTTCTCAATTAGTCGTACCAGAGCCTGATTTGGAGTTTGAATTCAGAGCAAAGAACTTCAGTTCGATAAACTCTCACTCGATTATCTCGGGATTTGAGATCCATAATAGATCAATTTTTTGAAATACATTCGGTTCGACCAAGTTCTCCTTATTGTTTGGTCACCTCGCTCGAGGGACTAATGTGCTTAACTATTTTAATTTCTTTATTCATGACGTATGCAATGACAGCACAATTTATTCTAGCTTATTAGTTTTGTGCTTACAAGTTACAACTCATAATTATTAATTAATTACTAAATAATCTATGTTGTTTTGCCCGCAAGATCCACGAGAAGAAACCAACACGAATAGGAATCTACGAAACCAAAGGCCGTATTTGTCGCATTAAGTTTTACTTTACAGAGTTCACGTCCAAGTGATAATTAGATTAACTCATGATCTTAAATCAAATAATTTATCTTTCTCATAGCCTTGGTTTCTCAGTTCATTTGCACTATGGGATTCTGTCTGTGCAAAGTTATACAAGAAGACATATAGAGCTGGAAAGTACTGACCACATTAATTTAAATTTATATATACCCTTAATTAATTAGCTATGGAATTAATTGTATCGGTTTATCAGTATTTTTATTTCACAATTATCTGAAATGCAACATTAAGATTTGGAACAAGGAGGTATTCGGGGATATTGAGATTAAAATTGAGTCTCTTCTCTCTTGCATAAAACGCCTTGATGATTTGGAAGAGTCAAGAAGCTTAAGTGAGGACGATTTCGTGGCTAGAGAATGATGGAAATCAGAGTTGAAGAATGTCTTGATGCTTCAAGAGACATCCTGGAACCAAAAATCTAGGGAAACCTGGCACCAGAAAGGCGAAAGGAATACCAGGTACTTCCATAAGATCGTTAACTACCGAAGGAAGTTGAACTCTATTAGCCGGATCCAAATCAATGGACTTGTGGTTGAAGGTAAGGAAGCTTTAGGTAGAGGTCTTGCTGATTTTTACAGAGATCTCTTCCAAGAATCTATCACGAACAGACCCTTCCCTAGCGAGTACCTAAATATCAGGCTGGATCCGTCAGATTGTGCTGATCTGACCCGGGATTTCAGTGAGAGGGAGATTTTGAATGCACTTAAATCTAGTGACGGGTTCAAGGCTCCAGGGCCAGATGGTTTCACCTATGCTTTCTACAAGAAATGCTGGCAGCTATGCAAACAGGAAGTAATTAGGGCTTTTGAAGAATTCCACGACGTGGGTTATTTGCCGGATTGCATCACTCATGTGTTCATCTGTCTATCCCCAAAGGTCGACGTTGTTGAAAGCACGAAGGATCTCCGACCAATCTGCCTGATGAACAACTTTAACAAATTGGTGAGTAAGGTGTTGATGAGACGTCTGAGCACTGTCCTGCCTAAACTGGTCTCTCCCAACCAGCATGCCTCGGTTCGCGGAAGACACATTGCTGAGGCGACTCTTATCGCGAATGAGTTGGTGGACAGCAGAAGGAAGAGCAGAAAGGCAGGCTTAATGTTCAAATTAGATATCGAGAAAGCTTTTGATAATGTCAGCTGGGAATGTCTCTTCAAAGTAATGGATAAATTGGGTTTCCCGGGTAAATGGCAACAATGGATCAAAGGGGATTTGTGTTCCCCAATGACATCTATTCTGGTCAACGGTGAAGCGCATGGTTTCTTCAGAGCAAGTAAGGGGGTTCGCCAAGGAGATCCTCTATCTCCCGGGCTATTTGTCCTGATTATGGACATCCTCTCATTTATGTTGAATAAGTTAAGGAATGTGGATGGGTTGCTGGGATTCGCTATTGATGAGAGTAGGGGTGTCGGTGAGGTCACCCACCTCCTGTTTGCCGATGATTCCCTCATCTTCTGCGAAGCTTCTGCTGATCAAGTTCTAAACATCCTCGCCACGCTTGTGTGCTTTCAGGCGGTAACTGGTCTCAAAATCAACCTTGATAAGTCCATTATGTTCACAATCGGAGATGTTCATGAACCGGGTTTCTTCGCTTCTATCTTCGGATGTAATTGGAGTAGTGAGCCAGCTAAGTATCTCGGTCTTCCGTTGGGGGATCGTCCGAATGTGATCTCCATTTGGAATCCGGTTATGATTAAATATCAAGATCGGCTTCAGGGATGGAAAAGCAAGCTTTTGTCCTTCGGAGCTCGTCTAACCCTAAATTGCTCTACTCTTAACAGCCTGTCGGTGTACCATTTTTCGTTATTGAAGGCGCCCAAGACTGTTTTGAACAATCTGGAAAAAATACAGCGAAGGTTTTTGTGGAGTGGGGCTAGTGAGGAGAACAAAAGACACTTGGTCAGATGGGATCTTTGCAAAGCTCCAAAGAAGAAGGGTGGGCTGGGCGCGGTTGATTTAGAGTGTTTCAACAATGCCCTCCTTTGCAAGTGGCTCTGGAAGTTTGCTACAGAAAGAAACAGTTGGTGGAGACAGCTCATAAACTGGAAATATAACAACACAGCTTCGGAGTGGAAAACCAGGAGGCTTGATGAAGGTTCAACAGCTCGGTCTGGGCTAACATATGCAAGGTACATGACCTTTTTTGGAAAGGAGCGAGTGTGGATCCTGGCCCGGGTACATCGATCTCACTTTGGCATGACAACTGGATCCCCGGGAAGTCGCTTGCGGAGTCTTTTCCGCGTGCTGCTGCTGCTGCTACCTCCCCAAATGCTAGCATCTGTGACTCTGTGTCCATCTCAGGTGAGTTGAGTGTGTGTGATGTTCCTTTCTCTTTAAGTCTTCGGGGTGGGCCGGAAATTGAGAGACTTACTTGCTTTGGTGAGATTAATGATAACTCTTTCAGAATTTGTACTAGTCCTTGCCGGATGATATGGAATCCGGATACAGAGTTGTTGTTCTCGGTTAGTTCTTGTTACAGGTGGCAGGTGGCAGAACGATTTCCAGGGGTGGAGAACTTTCAGTATGCTTCGATCTGGAAGAGCATTATCCCCACGAAGATTTGTGGGTTCATCTGGCTAGTCTGGCATAAAAGAATCCTCACTATGGACAACCTGAAGAGACAAGGATTGGAGCTGGCCAACAGGTGTGTGCTATGCTACAAAGAAGAAGAGTCGATTAATCATCTCTTGGTGGGCTGCGGTTACACCAGACGAGTCTAGGGTGAGGTTTTCAGCTCCATCTCCCCTCCCGACCTTGCCTCTGGAGATATTTCAGCGATCATCAGCAACAACCTGACTAATAATCTGGATGGTCTTGAGTCTTGGTTCCGTTCCTGTGCTGTCCACGCAATCTGTTGGGAAGTCTGGAAAGAAAGAAACAGAAGAATCTTCCATGAGCTAAGTTGCACCCCCCTCGTGATTGCTAGGAAGACGGTGGGTGGAATAATTGAATGGATTTTGGCTCACAAGAAAATTGACAAAGATCAGGGAATTGGTTTCCTGCAGAGCTGGTCGCATAGAGGAGCTAGCACTCATTGAGTTCCTCCTGAGATTGACACCTAATTTTCCCTTGTCTCTGCTGTTTTGGCTTTCTTTTTGTTTGGTTTCTCTAGTTTTGCTCTCGTTCTCCCTTTCTTTCGCGGAGACGGTTTCCTGTACATTTGAACTCCTTTTTCCCTCTTCTCACGCCTTGTGGGATTTGGTTTGTTTATTTAATAAAGTTCATCATCATTATAAAAAAAAAAATTGAGATACACAAGTGCTTAATCCCAGTTTTGAATTTGCCGATTTAACTTGCAGCAGTGAGGAGGACAAAAGTGGCCTAGCAGATGGTTTTTCGATTTAACTAAGAGATAATGAAAAAATACAGTTTTTCTTCAAGTAGAAATAGAACATTATTACTTTCCATTTGTCACCTTTCTTAAATATCCATGTACATGGAACCCCCTTAGATTTAGAAAAAGTACAAAATATTAGCAGTATTAGTTAGTTAATGATGATATTTAAATCCAAAATTTTAATGTCAATCGTCATATTTTCTACCGTTAAATAAAAATAAAAATAAATCAATTTCATCTACTAATTTATACACGAAAATTAGTTACTATCAATGTATTTGCTTGTGAAAGTAGATTTGATTTGCTACTATCATTTGTCAATGCACAAGTCGATAACATTTTATGCTATGAAACGATTGATCAGCCTTCGCATCTAGTGAACTAAAATTATGAATGGTTATTCGATGGGATATATTAAGTGTGAAATCTTGATAGTTTGGTCGATTCAAATAGTTATAGAATAATTTCACAATATAAAATAGGCTAATACCAATAAAAGGCCCATAGTTTAGCGTTTAGGTCACTTGTACCCCTATGTTTGTACCGCGTCACTTATGTCCCCAAGTTTAGTCTCCGTTAACTTTGACCATTAGTAGTCAATAGTCAAAGTTTTGACTGACGATGTGGCATATGATGTGGACTTTTTGCCACATCATTTAATATAAAATAAATAAAAATTAATACATAGAAATAAAATTGCATACTTTCAAAAAGTTAACAAATAAAAATCAAATGAAAATACATTGCGAGAGGGACGATACAGCTCTCCTCTTTCCTCCTCCGAGTGAGGGGAGCGCCGGGAAACTCCAGCTCCTCCACGTTTCTTCTTCCCAAATCTTTGATCCATATCTCATTCTCCATCCCGCCGTAAAATCACCAAGCTTGAATCTGAAATTTCAGAAGCAAAGAAAACCCCAAATCTGACCCAACGATTCTTCTCTCTCGCGTCCCGTTAAGGCGCTAAGAAGATTCATTCACAAAGCTTTTCAGCCGACAAATATGAAATCATCCAGCTCCGCATCCCTAGCCACCATCGAGTACGGGAAGAAAAAGGCGACGAAGCAAAGGTCTCTTTTTATGTTGGGGAAGGAAGACCACAACCTGGACTCTATTTGTCTCTTCCCTCTTTCCCATTAAACCCAGAAAAGAAACCTAATTGCTAGACCACTGCCGACGTAGCTTCAATATCTTCCCCTCCCTTATAAACAAATACCCATGTCTATATTCATCCTTCTGTTCTCCCTGCAGGATCTCCATTCATCATCTCTTTCACTGTCTATTGAATCAGACCCACGAGCGACGATGTCCACGCTGCTCTCCGTCTTTCCTCCGGCGACTGGCGATGAAGACATCACAACAATTGACGGCGGCAAAGGCAATTTGAAGGAGGAAGATGGGGATTTTTGGGTCGGGGGAAGGAAGATGGTGTTTTTTTTTTCATGTTTAAGTGTCTTAATTGAAAAATAAAATTAATTATTTTTAGGAATATATGTGATGATGGGTGAAAATATTTAAATTCTTTCATTTATTAATTACAATTAATTTTTTTTTCCTGATGAGTTGGTGACATGGCAGACAAGTTGGCACAAAGTCAACAAAATGTTGACCACCGTTAGGTTGACCGTTAAGTCTAACAGTCAACGAAACGAAGGAGGACAAAAATGACATGAAGGCACTAAACTTGGGGACATAAGTGACGCGGTACAAACATAGGGGTACAAGTGACCTAAACCCTAAACTATGGGCCCTTTTCTGGTATTATATTAGACCCCATGTGTAATTTTTTTTATGGCACTCCATTAAATAAAATCTTGGCTACGCTATTGTCCATGTACTTATTTCATTTCGTTACATTAAGTCTTTAATTAGGAGCTTCCCTCAAAAAAAAAAAAAAAGTCTTTAATTAGGAGCTAATTAGTAGTAATCCCTTACACGTGTGTATATATTTAATAATAATTCTACCTCCGTTTCATCCTAGGAGAGTGCACTTTCTTGTTCCATGGCAAAACAACAAGAGGTATGCATAGACCTATAGATATATACTTAAGTACTGACCAAGCTACGTACAAACTAGAAAGAGTTAATTAATTAACCAAGCTAATTAGTCATAATTACGAATAACAACAAGAATTAGTACATAATAAAAAAAATATAGTAACCATTGAGATTACGTTGAAGCCAAAGAAGAGAAGTGTGCTGAGTGCTGACACCTGAGGATTGTAGCTGTGATGGGAGAGATGATCATTACATTATCAACAATGTAAGTTAGACTAAAGCAAGTAAATTCCAAACACTTTTGCCCACAACATTTTTGGTCCCTCCACCTTCCCCATCTCCCTCCTCCCTATTTAACCCTTTTTTTCCTATTCATCATATCTCACCCCCCAATACCATCTCTCACAAGACTACCCTAGATCTCTTCACTCATGCCATGCCATGGCAGCTGAGCTTGGATTCCTAGCCCTCACCCAACTCCAAAAGGTGGCTCACTCGTCCCAAAAGGTCGAAATTCTAGACCACCACGAGAATCAAAAGAAAATTCGAGACCAGTCCCACCATCACCAGCGGTATCAGCATCAGCAACAACTGATGCTGATGAGTGATGGTGGGACGAACTCATCTACAGGAGCAGCAGCAGCAATAGCAGGAGTACCGCCGCGAACCACGTGGATGTGGAACCCTAGGCCAGGCAAGGAGGATCATCAGGAAGAGGACGAGGAGGATGACGACGACGAGGAGGAGTCGTGGGAGGTGAAGGCTTTCGAGGAGGATGCCGGGAACGTCAACGGCAGCACATGGCCGCCACGGTCCTACACTTGCACCTTCTGCCGCCGGGAGTTCCGGTCGGCTCAGGCTCTCGGCGGCCACATGAATGTCCACCGCCGTGATCGGGCCAAACTCCACCACCACCAAGCCCTACCTCTTCACCTTCCACCACCGCCACCACCACCTCAAAACCCTACAAACGCCTCCTCCTCCTCCACATACATCATCCCATCACCGGAATTCTCCGCCGCCGCCGGCGGTTTGTGCTTGCTCTACCAATTCCCAAGCCCTAATAACCTCCACCACCCCATCACCACCGCCACCTTCTCCACCGTGACCAATGCATGCACCACCACCGATGCACCCTCCACTCTCCTCTCCATGGCGCCGTACGCTCAGGAGCACCGCTATAGCCGCCGCGGACCGATGGTGGCGGTAGGACAGTCTCGCAATCCTTACCCGCCGCCGGTCAGGAGAAATTCATCATCTTCTTCTCCTCCACAATATTATAATTTCGGGGCCGGCGGGGGAGGCCAGCTGGCGACGGCGGAGGGGAATGATAAGGAGATGGGAAGTAGTAGTAATGAGGAGGGCGAGGAGTTGGATCTGGAGCTGAGGCTTGGCCAGAGATCCACGTCATCATCATCATCATCGTGAGAAAAAAAAAAGGATAAGAAATCTGATTTTATTAATTACCTTTTCTTATATTATTATTGGTTTCTGAAACATTTATGTTAATGTTTTTATCGTTTGGAGAGGACATTAAAGTGAGAGTGAAAATGTGAGAAGATGAATTTTTTTTCTTTTTGTGTGTGTAAAAAGACAGTTATTTATAATAAATTTCATCATTTTTTTTAGGACGTTCATGCTTGGTTATGTGCATACATTTGATAAATTTTGGCGAGCAAGTAAATCTAAGCAAGTAATACTTTATATTGATATCATCTGGCGAAGTTGTCCGACTCTTTTTCATCTAACATACAATTTTGTACATGACTACATAAAAAGATGAATTCATTTTCTCAACCACTTTGTTTGCTCACTCCTTTGTACAACTTTGAGTTTCATGTCATATACACAACGTACATTTCCGGCCACACCATACTTGACTCTCAATTTCTTGTCATTCTATGTTTACGAAGTTAGTCCTTTTCTTGTATACATCTCTTTGGCTTTTCCGAAGAATACAATCATATTCTCATTGTAGAAAACGCACATATCGAGCTGGCAAAGCTGTGGAAAGAAGAAGCCAACATGTAAAACAGGAATTCATAAAAGAGGGAAGGAACTGCATATTGGCTATTGGCTGTTCATTATTTTTTCCTGAGTTGAAGATCATAAATGAGAGAACCCATAATGGGGTTTTGAAAATTGCAGAGAAAGGGATAAGTTTGCATTGCACAGTCGTTTTCTTACTGCCAATTTCGCCAACGTTGGGTCTCTCTCTCCCTCTGAATGCAAATCTCTGTCTAGTCGATATTGCATACATACCATGGTGTATTGATTTCCGTGGGTGATAGTTTCTATCGGTCCCCCATTCATATTCATATATAGACGACGATAGACAGATATGAAAATATGTCACAGAAGAAAATAGCCTACTACCCTATCTCTGATCTGGTTGGCTCTCTGTTCGTCTGAAATCGAGGTGTAGTGTACTTAATGTGGAGATGTTTGGTGTATCAGTTTGAAGGGACATGTACATGAGAGTCGCGTAGTTTGAGTTATTGAACTTCGATGAATTGACCGCCACATCAGCAAAAGTGAACGGAGACTAATGGTCAGTGACCAAACTTGAACTGTGAACCTAATCTAAATGACTACGGATGGAATAAAGTAATTCTAGTGGCTAACGCGAACTTTACTAGTAATTCAAGTGACCAAACTTGCAATTTAGCTCTTTGAAAATAATGATGAAAGTATTAGTAAAGAAAATTTCCGTTCAATTCCTCAATTTCTGCACAAGAACTGAGTTTATGGGGGAAATGAAGCCGAATGAGCATGCATGCTAGATCGTTGCAAGAGGGGAAGTATTAATCATACCGAACATGCCAGAGATTAAAACAAACATACTTTCCAATGTCAAAACAACGTCAAAGTTAGTGGAAAGAAGGAAAATATATCAAGCAGAGTTCTCATCTCCAACACAACTCTAAAGTGTCACTCATCTCTCTCCAGTAAATAGAGACCAAACCCTGATCTCTTTGACAGTGGGGGATAAAGATAACGATTACCTTTTGGAATTGGGTTTAGGTAGACTTAATTTTTAATTAATTTGTGAAGTTATGTATTTTACTTTATGTGCCTTCTGTGCAATGATTTATCATGTTGAGTTCGTTAGTATTTGACTCATTGCTGCTATCTTGTGTAGTTTCAGTATTTTATTGGTATGGTTGCATATTTTTATCAGTATAATATATAAATAAAAATATAACCAGTATAAAACGGTTGAACTATAATCACATCACAAAATATCATGTCATCAAATGTGTCACTTCTATTTTGTAATCTTTTTGAGTTTTGGCACTCACATGTTCACCAAAGCAATGAGCTTGTTAGGAAGGCCATAAATGCTTTGAAATTGATTCCCTCTCCATTACTGAGCACGTGGTCACCAATTGAGGGTGTGCAATGGTCGGAATCAGATCAAAATTCATGAAAACTGCGCTATAGAATGAAAAACATTTTAGGATCAAGTACTTGACCAGCATTGCCTTTCGTCCTGTCCAAATATCAGTACGGTTCATTTTTGTTCGATATTTATAAAATCCATAAAAATAAAGATTAGACCACATTACATTCCGTTTGGTATGATCCAATTCAAACATCAATTCAAACCATTACAGTTTGATACAGACCAATCCGTTGCATAACCCTAGTCTCCATTCACCAAAGATGGTTCCTCCGCCAAACAAGGACTTGTCCAAAATGCTACAGTGCGCTCACCTCGGAAGTCCCATGCTAACCGATCGACTATTATGTTAAAGCTGACTCGGGCTGGGGGATGCAATACTGGGCCGCCGAATCCAGTAACCAGACCGAGCCAAGTCCACCACTACGAGGCCAAAATAAAGCCCAGCTTGGGAGTGCTAATTTCTTGTTTTTTTTTTTTTAAGATAGAGGACGTGTTAATTTCAAACCAATACAACAGTATGAATTTTACCTTGTAATGTAAGACTGAGATAGTGAACAACACGGTGTAGCTGTAACATGGTGGTTTCATAGCCTCGTATTTTAGTCATGATGTTAAAGTTCTATTCATGTGCATGTAAATCGAGCTTAGTTTATGACCAACCATTTGCTCTCTTGTGCCATAATTTGTGGCGAAAGTACTCACTTTTCTTGACGATAAGTGGACGTCTTAATGCTACACTAAAATAAGAAGGTAGTGTATGTATCCAACTGAATTTCTTTTTGTTGCATATAGAAGTTGTGTACGAGTTTTATGTAAAGAAGTTTCAAAGTACATGTATAAAGAAGTTTCCTTCCCATCAAAACAACCAACCAAACTACCCAGAAATTTACAAAAATCTGACAAATAGACCCGTAGCAAGTAAACAATGCGGAAGATCGAAAACGACAATTTATTTCAATTTCCTCGGTACGTTGACGCCATTGAGTTAAGGGCTAGTTTCGATGGATCAATCCAGAAATGAGTCAATTTGATCAATTGTCTCGTTTTATAAACGAGACAATTAAAACGAGTCAATTCGAATTACCTGCCCCCACCTCAGGTAATTGAAATTGACTCAAAACGGATCAATTCAAAATACCTCAGGCAGATTGATCCATCCAAAAATTTTGCTGACAAACGAGACAATTTGGTACAATTATCTCAAAACGAGACAATTGTGTCCAATTGATCCATTACAATTCCTCGTCCAAACCACTCTTAAATTTGCATTGACCAATTTTGTTTGTTATTCGTATCGAAGGAAACAAAATGTTGGTCCAAAAGTTGTTTTCAACTTTTCATCACCTTCTGTTTCTCCCTTTCTTTGACTACCATTCATCAAATATTCATTAACTAATTTAGAAATTTTGGTATTATTGTTTTAATTATATATAGGCCAAACCAAAGATATATACAAACAAAGTGCCGGAAAACTCACAACACTAGTTAATCAACGATAATCACATCAAACAATTAAATTTTATTATTACTGAAGTCAAGTGTCTTCGGAAATGTGATTAAGTGCTAACCTGGTGCAGTGGCCTAATTACGTTCAACCTTAATTATCTTGTGAAATTTTGACATAAGTTAATGTTATAAAATAGTAATAGTAAACTTTGAATTGACTGGTGTTTTCCGGCGAGAAAACTTGCATTGAATGAGATTTGATTGCACCTTGACTTCTTGAACAACGATCACTAAACACGGTTCACACCTCTTCAAACACAGTTTGAATGAGGGCAGGGCCGGCCCATTATATTCGGGGGCCCTGTTCAAAAATAAAAAATGTGGCCCCAATTTTTTCCCACAAATTTATTATAAATAAATTTTTTAAAATAATTATAAAAAATACATAAGTTCAGAAAATTATTACAATAGGGATAATATTATCGATCATTGTTTGAAAAGTAACAACCGTCTAGTATTATTTGATATAAAATCCTCTATTAGTTCTTCCATCTTTGCATCCTCCAAGAAGTTATTCTCAATTGCCAACATAGCTAACCCGTTAAGCCTCTCTTGTGTCATTGTAGAGCGCAAATAAGACTTCAATAACTTCAACTTCGAAAAGCTTCTTTCTGCTGTAGCAACAGTCACAGGAATAGTTAATAAGATTCTATATACAATGCTTGCATTAGGAAAACAATCGACACGTTTCAAAAAGTTTAAAATTTCAAAAGGAAGAATACATTCCTTAGGTAAAAAGTCTGGTAATAACTTAAGTTCAGAATATAAATCATTGCCATCAATATCAGATTGGTCATTATTCTTAAGAATGGTTTGAATATGCATGCAAGAAGACTTCAATTTTGAATCATCCAAGGAAAATAATTTCTTAGAACTAAATAAGAAACCAAAATTAGATTGAAAACTACTATATTGCTCAAATCTTTTAGTAAGTGAAGAAATTGCTTGATCCACTATGCATAGGAAATAATTAACTCTAAATGATTCGTCCCTAGATAAAGATGCATTACTTGAAGAATTTTCAGGAACCTCGTCAAAATGCCTCTTTCTTTTGATCTCGCGCTTTTGAGGAAAATTTGGAACAACATCCATTGTCGTGCAAACTTCCTTCGCTAGCTCTAAGGCTTTTTGAAAACCATCTTCTCTATATCTTTTGAAAAATGAAATCAATCCATCTATTTTTAAAATAGCATCATCAATAAGTATATCTTTGGATTGTAATTGTTTACTAACTAAATTTGTTGAAAACAATATTTCATACCAAATAACTAATGAAAGAATAAATTCAAAATCACCAAGTTCATTTCGTGCTAAAGATTCAGCTTCACTGCTAATTTTTGAATCGCGATCAACATCGGCTACTTGAAGTAAGGCTTCTCTCACTTCTGGCATTTGAAACCTAATTGCTTTTACACTTTCAACACGACTCTCCCAACGAGTAGATGATAATGGTTTCAAAGTCAAATTAACATTATGCTTTAAAATAAGCCATCTTTTATTGGAATTTGAAAATATC